CTTTGCATCTACAAATCGCCGGAATTAATGGTTGCCAACACTGCAACTGGTGGCTCGGACGCTACCTCTAATCCAACCTCTCCTTTCTTTTTGCATCCTTCAGATAATCCAGGTTTAATCTTGGTTTCCTATCCATTAAATGGAGAAAACTATTTCACCTAGATTAGTGCAATGCAAAATGCATTGTGTGCCAAGAACAAGCTTGGTTTTGTGGACGACGATCAAAAAACCAAAAAAGTCATTTGATCAAGAACTGGCCTGGAATAAGGGTAATTCCATGGTCATTTCTTGAATCTTCAACTCCTTGTCTCGTGAATTGCATGAAAGTGTGGCATATGTGGACTCTACTCATGAGATTTAGCTTGATCTGGAAGAGCAATTCTCACAAGAAATTGCCCTTCGAATCTTTCAACTCAAAAGAGACTTAGCACTGCTTTGACAGGAGAATCTCTCTGTTTCAACCTATAATTCAATCCCAACCTATAATTCATGGGATGAATTACTTAACGAAGTTACTTAGCACTGCAATTCTCACAAGAAATTACTTAACGAAGTTCATGGGATGAATTAGCAACCTATAATTCAATCCCAACCTGCTCATGTGGAGGTGCAGAAAAGGAATTCATTGTTGAACGTGAGAAAGAAAAAGTATATCAGTTATTGATGGGATTGAGTGAGAATTTTAACACTATTCACTCTCACATCCTTAGTCTTGATCCCTTGACTAACGTTAGTCGCATTTATGCACTGATCGTGCAAGAAGAACGCCACCAAAGTCTCTCGACTCAACAAGTACCTATTATCGAAACAACAGCACTGCATGTGGTCGCCGCATCATCGAAGCCGCAAGATAAATCTACCCACCCAAAATTCAGATGCAACCACTACAAGTGCAATGGACACACAAAGGACTAGTGCTATGAAATCTTGGGTTATCCACTAGGTTGGGTAGATAAAAGGAAATCTGCAACTAGCAAGTCGACAAACAAGAGTTTGTCAAAGAATATGACTCAGACAACTGGACATTCAAACTCAATTTCTCCAATTGCTGGTTTAAGTCTTGATCTGTATCAACAATTGATGGATCTTTTGAACTCAAAAAAACATACTACTACAACAAATTATGTTGGTAAGGCTTATGCTTGTCAACTTTTACATTCTTCTAGTTGGATTCTAGATACAAGAGCCTTGGACCATATGATTGGTGCACAGTCCAGTATGGCTCTTCATACACAACCAGCTAGTATTCATAAACCAGTTCATCTACCCAATGGCACTGCAAATGCCTGTACAAGCTCAAGGATCTGTCAAGATTACTGATCATATTCATTTAGAGAATGCTCTCCTTGTTTCGAATTTTAATTGCAATTTGGTATCTGTGAGCAAACTCACTAATCAACTGAATTGTGTGACTTTGTTTTTTCCCACTTTCTGTGTCGTACATGACCTAACCACCAAGAAACCGATTGGAGTGGCTGAAATGAGGGATGGCCTCTACCACTTTATTGGGCTACCAAACTCTATAGCTTTACATATCAATTCAACTTATTTTAATTTTCAATTGTGGCATTATAGGTTAGGACATGTTGCCTATGCTTGATTGTTATTGATTCAAGAATTGCATGTTTACCTATCTGTAATTATTGTATGTTGTGATGCATGTAGTCGTGCTAAGCTTACAAGATTACCCTTTTCACGTAGCTATAAATAAAAGCATTGCACCTTTCCAACTTATTCATTGTGATATTTGGGGAGGATATCGGGTGCCATCCTACTCTAGGGCTTGTTATTTTCTCTCTATTGTAGATGACTACAGTCGAGCCACTTGGGTCTATTTGATGGCATGTAAGTCAGATACTTTATAGTTTCTCACTATATTCTGTGAAATGGTAAAGACTCGTTATTTCTCTCAATTTCACACCTCGATTCAGACAATTAGATTTGATAATGGGCTTGAGTTCTTGCCTAAACCCATTTAGACTTATTTTTAAAACAATGGCATTCTTCATCAATGAACATGTGTTGACACCCCTCAACAGAATGGGGTAGTGGAGCGGAAACACCACCATTTACTTGAAATGGCACGTGCCTTACGGTTCCAAGCTGGGCTTCCAATACAATTTTGGGGTGAATGTGTGCTTACTGCCACTTTATTGATAAATTACTTGCCTACACCACAGTTGCATGGGAAATCCCCTTATGAGATGTTGCATGGTAAGCCTCCTATATATAACCAATTAAGGGTGTTCGGTTGTTTATGTTATGCCCGAGTTCAAGGCAAACCCCATGATAAATTTGTTGTGCAGGCCCATCGTTGTGTTTTCATGGGCTACCCGCAAGGACAAAAAGGTTACCAGTTGTGTAACCTTGATAACAAGGAGTTCTTTGTTTCACGGGATGTTCGTTTCTACGATGATCAATTTCCTTTCTTAAACATCCTGAATACCCCACAAACCTCTGATCAACTAGTGGTACCACTTCCTATAACCGATGACACTCCTGTTGATACCATTGCAACTCATAATCATCTGCCCACTACAGCCCATGATGAGCCTTCCCCAGTCAACAATGGGTTTGAAGTAGAACCTAACAACACTCTCACTCAACCTATACGTCGATCTAGCCGCCCCATTCAACCCCCTAAGTGATTCCAAGAGTTTGTTTGTCCCACCTTACAATCCAATGGTCCAACAAACCCCAGCACACAACATCCCATATCACATTTTATTGGGCATCAGCTCATCCATCTAAACACCACAGAACCACAAAGCTATGCTGAAGCCACTGCACATCCTAACTGGAAACAAGCCATGCAAAATGAATTAACAGCCCTTGCCCGAAATGGTACTTGGACTCTAACTTCTTTAACAAGCCATGCAAGATGAATTAACAGCCCTTGCCCGAAATGGTACTTGGACTCTAACTTCTTTATCACTAGGAAAATCCCTAGTGGGCTGCAAGTGGGTATATAAGCTCAAACTTAAACCTGATGGGACTATTGATCGTTACAAAGCCGAATTAGTCGCCAAAGGTTATACCCAAACTCCTGTAGTTGATTACAACAACACCTATGCTCTTGTGGCAAAGTTGGTTATAGTGAGATGTCTCTTAGCTTTAGCTGTAACCTGTCATTGGGATGTTCACCAAATGGACATAAGTAATGCCTTTTTGCATAGTAACTTACATGAAGAAGTTTACATGGTGCCACCTCCGGGTTTCTTACCAATAGGTGACACGAGTTTGTTGTCTTCAAAAATCAATCTATGGACTCAAACAAACATTCCGCAACTGGTTTGACACACTGGCCACAACATTAAAGCATCATGGTTTTCTTCAGTTTACAACAAATTGCACATTGTTCGTTTCTTCTAGGCCAAATAGTTTCTTGGCAATTCTTGTATATGTCAATGATATAATCATTGTCGGAAATGATTCCAATTGCATAGCCAGACTTAAAAATTATCTCAGTAGCCGCTTTCACATTAAAGACCTTGGAGAACTTCAGTACTTCCTTGGCATTGAAATCTCTAGGTCTCCAAACAACATCTTTCTTTGCCAAAGGAAATACACTCTGGACATCTTATTTGAAACGGGCATGCTAGTGTGTCATCCAAGTTCTTTTCCTATGCGTCAACAACAACAGCTAGCTCTTGCGAAAGGACCTCCATTTCCACACCCAAACAGATATTGGAGACTGGTTGGACGATTGATCTATTTAACAATTACTAGACCTGAACTCACATATTTAGTACATGTGCTCAGCCAGTTCATGAGCAAGCCTAAACAAGCTCACTACGGTGCTACAATTCATGTTCATAGATATTTAAAGTCCACACCAAATCATGGTATGTCCCTCCCTTCCAACAATGACCTAGTCATTTGTGGCTACTGTGATTCAGACTAGGCAGGATGTCCTGTCACTAGGCGATCAACAACAAGTTACTTCACTATGCTGGGCTCTTCACCTATTTCTTGGAGGACACATAAGTAGCCTACAATGTCAAAATCTTCAGCAGAAGACAAATACTGTTCCATGACTGCTCTAAGTAGTGAACTAATTTGGCTTAAGAAACTTTTTCATGATCTTGGATTAAGCCATATTCAGCCCATGACTGTCTTCCGCGACAACAAGGCAGCCCTACATATTGCTTCCAACCCAGTGTTCCATGAGCGAACAAAGCATGTTGAGATTGACTGTCACTTTGTCTGAGAACATATCCAAACTTGGACCATTGCTACCTCCCATATTTCCACTAAAGTCCAACCAGCGGATGTCTTCAACAAGGCCTTGGGCAATGATCAGTTTAACATGTTAAAATCCAAGTTGGGTGTCGGTCCTCCTCCATCTCCAACTCGAGGGGGAGTATGATATAATATGTTATCCACGTGTACAATTCTGTTATAGAATCCACGTGTACAATTCAGTTGTAACAGCTGTAACTTACATTCTAGAGTCTTCTATAATACTTTATAAATATCTGCTCATATCAAGATAAATACAAGCTTCCATTAATTTTACAAAAGAAAAACAAGAGAAATAGAAAAAATTTTATAGAAGTTTAGCCAAACCTCCCTATGTCATCTACCTCATATCACCATTGAGAATTTACACTAACCAAATGAACTTCCGGGGTTCCATCCAAGCCTTTATAACCAACAACACTTTACAGGTGCCTATAACACCTTTCCTAGTTGGACTTACCTAGGTGCCAACAAAACCCAAACTAGTAGGGCTTCCAAGTGCTTGCAAAAACTTGCAATTAGGCTTAACACAGGTGCCAATAAGACCTTAAATGGTGTTCAACAATTTGAACACCTACTTACTCAAAGATCTACTAATAAGCACAAATAGCATGTTTACAATGCAAGGGAAACCTGTCAATAGGTAGATATAACCAATTACAATATAGACCAACTCAATTACTAATGTATTCATAGATGCTCAAATCAGGGAGTAGGATCCCAACACATGGGTGAGAACAAGCTCAAAAGCTTTAGACTGGTGGAACAGTAGCCCATAGGAGCTGCTTTTATTAATGCATGGAATGTTACTGTCACAAGGTTCATATATCACATTGTTATCTCAGGATGGAAGATGATGGTCTCAAGATAGGTGATGATGTTGCATATGACAAGGAAACCTATGCCTTGGGGAATGATCAAGTAAGGACACATTCCCAATTCACATTAACATGATCCCCAAGAATTCCTTCCATTTTCCATCAATTAGCTCCATGTCACAAGGTCGGTCAATGTAACACCATTGGGTATGTAATTGGTGCCTTTGCAACTAAAGCAGCATGGAAGAGGAAATGAGCTAATTACTACAATAACTCGGCCATCTTTCCAATGTAATTGTATTAAATATGTTTGCATGGTTATCTCAGGAATCTAGTCCATCATGTTGCAAATGTCATGTTAAAAAATACCATCAATGCCTTCCCAATACATAATCAAATTCAGAGGTATACTGGATCTCAACATCTAGCTCTTTGGTTACCCGATTGCAACTCTCAATTAGTGCATGGATCTCTTCTGCAAGGGGATGGGATCGATCTGCTGTAACAAATATATGAACCTCGTTGTACAACTCTATCCAGCTGTACCCTGGTTGCTTTCTAATTCCCTTACCATCCATCACCATTCTCACATCCATTGCATCCATCCATCTCCCTGCATCAGCATGAATGTTATATAACAATACATATGGTGCTGAATTTTCTGGCTCAAGCCTCATTAATGCCTCAGCTGCAACCTTGGCCAATTTCACATTGTTATGTACCCTGCAAGCACCCAACAGGGCACCCCACACAGCCTTATCAGGTTCAAATGGCATGCCTCTAATCAAATTCATGGCCTCTTCCAGCTGTCCATGCCGCCCCACAATGTCCACAAGGGAAGCATAGTGTTCAACCCTTGGTTCAATCCTAAATTCCCTAACCATGGATTCAAACTCTCGACGGCCTTCCTCCACCAACCCCGCATGAGCACATGCATTCAAAACTGATATGAATGTAATATATGTGGGTTGCACTTTCATCCTCTTCATCTCCCCAAAAAGCTCAAGAGCCTCCTTTGCAAAACCATGATAGGCGTACCCCCCAATCATTGCGTTCCATGAAACCACATCTCTCTGCATTTTCATCTCATCAAAAATTGCTTGTGCCTCCACTATGGCCCCACATCTTGAGTACATAGTTACAAGGGAATTATTTATTGGTATATCTGCAACTACTGTTTTTATTACTTGTTGATGAATCTGCATTCCTTGGTAAAGAGCTGTGAGCCCAGCACACACACTGAGCAGTGACGATAATGTGTGTTTGTCAGGAGTTTCACCTTCAGCTAGCATCTGAAGAAAGAGTTGAATTGCTTCTTCATAATCTCCACTTTGCTCAAATCCTGCTATCATTGAATTCCATGAAACAAGGCTTTTCTGGGGCATCCTGTTAAAGAAATAACATGCAAGTTCCATATTGCCTTCCTGGGCATGCCCTGAAATCATCAAATTCCATGACCTGGTATCAGGGTCCTGCATTCTAAGGAAAAGATCTGAAGCTTCTGCCATATCTGATGCACGAACATAGGCACTGATCATGGTGTTCCATGAGATGGTATCTCGTTCCATCATTTCATCAAAGATCCTTCTGGCTGAAACCACGTCTCCCACTTTAACATAGCACATGATCATTGAATTCCATGATACCACGTTTCTTTTGAATTGCTGACCTTCTTTACTGAAATTAGTGTAAGAAGGAATTTGGTCAAACAAGCGTCGAGCTTCATCGACCATTCCTCTTTGACCATAACCAGCAATCAGAGTGTTATACGCATGAATTAAATCTCCTCTGTCCTCAAATGCCTTCTCAACATCAAGCAAAATCCTTGCAGCTTTGTCCAGTTGATCATTCTGAATGAGACCCGATACAAGTGCACTAAGAGAAGTGGAGTCCCGTTCAGGCATCCTCTCAAACAATTCAATTGCACCTGAAACATCACCGTTTTGCAAGAGGCCAGTGATCATTGCATTCCGAGACACTATATTCCGCTCAGGCATTATATGAAAAAGATATAATGCGTCCTGGATTCTCCCGTTCCGTGCATAGCCACTGATGACTGTGTTCCAAGATACCAGGTCTCTCTCGGGCATTCGATCAAATAAGGATCGTCCCTCCTCAATCAGTCTGAGCCCCGGGCATGAAAAATAACCCGATATCATCAGGTTCCACGAGACGATATCTCGATTGGGCATTTGATCGAACAGTTTACGCGCCTTGGCAATCTCCCTGTTTTGGATGTACCCAGATATCATAGAGTTCCACGTGACAGCGTTCCGGTGTTGTGTGGCGTCGAATACACTTCTCGCTTCGTTAATTCGACCATTTCGGATTAAATGGTAGATCGCCTTGTTCAATCGACGGAAATCTTCCGGTGCTGAGGTGAAGTAACACGACTTTATAAACTCTTGACGTTGAGATATCTTCCAGTAGGCCCACCTTCTCAGACATGAGAATAAGGAGCCATTGGAAACGCCGATGCTTCTTTCCATGCTTCACCATGTCCGCCATGGAAGAACAACGGAGGTGAGACAAAGCCTCGAGGGAGTTATTATACCTTCAAAGCTACTAAGGTTTGCGAATACAACTTCGCTATCGTTCATACTGCTCCCTCGGCGAGAAAGACGACAAACATTTAATGGTGGGGGAATCATCGTACTCATGATGGAAATAAATGAACCATTTGATCAATGAATCTGCAAACGACGGAACTGCGAGTGAGTGAGGAAAGAGTCATAGAGAGAGAAGGAGAAGAAGTAGCCGCGCAGGAAAGAAAGAAAGAGGGACAGAAATGACAAATGCGAAGGATTATTGCGCGCGCCTTAACAAAAAGATACCTCTTGCTATTAACGTCTCTTAACAAAAAGATAAAATTAACGTTAATCGATTCAAACCTCAAAAGTGATGACAACGGTAGGGCGGAGCTATTCCATCGTCCACCAGTGACCGGTTGCGTTGTTGGGTAACATCTTCCCCCGTGAAGGTTCGTGATCAGGAATGTGAATAGATTGCCCGGAGTGATACCTGTGTATAGGTTAGAGATTGGGAAAATTTGTCATGGGCCAAAGCAAACATATTTCTTTATTTTTAGGGTAAATTTCTTAAACTACTCCTATCGTTTATCTAATTGAATAATTCTATTTTTACTGTTTGAAAATTGATTTTCTCTCCCTCTCCTCATTTTCTTTGTCGGAATTATTGGAACTGCCGGAACAGTGGATGATGACTGGATCTAGGTTCTTTCGAGTTCGTACAACTACTGTTACTCAGCTTCCAAGTCTAAACCAGTGGATACCGCCCAAGAATCCCTGCCCAACCCTCACCGAGCCCAGTTTGCTTAGGATTGCTTAGACTTCAGAGAAGAAGAGAATGGCTCTGCACCTCATGCTCTAGTTCTTCTTCAAACCCTGCAACCCCTGCAACCCATGGCATCATGGCATCGTCGGCGACGAAAAGAGGGAGACGGAGAGGAGGGATCTCTGCAACAAAACCTACAACCCCCTTAACCCATGGCGTAAACAACCCTTCCTCTTCTTCTTCTCTTCACCCCTGCAACCCATGGCATAATGGCATCGTCGGTGATGGAATGAGGGAGACAGAGAGGAGGGATCTCTGCAACAAAACCTGCAACCCATGGCGTGAACAAACCCTTCCTCTTCTTCTTCTCTTCACCCCTGTAACCCCTACAAACCAAATTTCTCTTCACCCGATCGTTGGGGTTGGGTTCAGCTTCGCCACCGTTGTCAGCTCCGCCACCGCCATCGTCGTCAATGTATTTTTCATTTTCAGCTTCAGCAAGGCATGACTCTCTTTGGGCTTTGGATTAAAAACTGCTGACACGCCGTATGTGCCACTGTAACAGCAACTAACAACCACTGTAACAGTTCCGCCACCGTTGCCTACATCGACCCCCTCCAGCACCGGCACCTTCGTGGCAAGATTAGTAGTAGGTTGGAGATTGTTTGAAGGACTTGGGCGGTATCCACTGTCTCCTCTTTTCTCTTTCTCTGTTCTTGTGTTCCATTGAGATTACTTCAGAGCCGAATCGATGAAGAAAGAATGCTAATGGAAACACAGAAGTTCTTTCTAGCATATCCGCTCAAGAGCTCTTCTCTGATTCCTAGGGAAGGGTATTCGGTTGACATCCCTTGCTCTATCTCTTTGTTTCGTTTTTTTCTTTTTCTGGGTAGTATAGTTGATTTTTAATGGAGGCAATACTCAGATTTGGGTTCTTTAAAAACCGAACCATTTCGGTTTGCTGTTCAAAGGAAGAAGACGATAGAGGTAAAATTGGGATTTAAAAAAATATAAGTCATATATAAATTTAACGGAATATTAACGGATGCAAACAATAAAGTAGAACTAGTCAATTGTTAAAGAAAGTAGGGGTAGTGTTAGTCAATTTTTAAATAGTAAAGGTACACTTAGTAAATTAGATAAACTATATGGGTAGTTGAAATTTAGGGAAACCATGATTAGGAACATAACGCAGTTCAGGATCTAATGTATCTCGCTAGAGAGGGGAAGTATTTAATTGAGAGTATGGTGGGTAAGAAATTCTAATAGAAGCTATATTTCTCAATGACCTAGGAATATTAGATGTCCAAATTGGTAATTAAATCCTTTATAAATTTAGCGGGAAAAATTGAGAAATTTGAGGAACAAGGGCTAATCTTTTTGATACCCCATCATAATGAAGGGATGGGCGAACCATGTAGGATGGCTAAGTGAAATTTCAAAAATTTCTTTTTTCCCTTCCGAGAATCGTATTCCCAGTTTTAGAAAAATTGCAATTTTCAAAGATTATTCTTGAAACAAACCAGACCGGATCTGAAACCAAAAGAAATGGAGGCCAATACCTTATACGGAATCCACACGTGTAGCTCCCAAAGTAGGTGTTTACACCCAAAGAATGTACAAAAACCCGCCTCCACTAAAGATGGCACAACTTGAGATGAAGTAGGTTCAACAGTGTAGTCCTTCAGCAAGAACTGCAATCCTTCAACAAGGATCAAGTAAGGGATGGTGAGCACAAATTAAATCTGATTTTTCTTGCAAAAATCATAATCAAGATCCAATCTTGATCAGTCCAAGAAACTGGAGATCGAATAGGGTAGGGCAGCAAGAACAGAGGGAGAGAACTGAATGTAGAAAGGTGAAAAATAAAGCAGCTCGCCCCCTCTATTTATAAACCCTCGAGATCAACTCTCCTAATCTTATTAGGAGGAGTTCTTTGATCCAAATCTTTATTTGGATATGAATTCTTAAGTGGATAAGACTTATCTTATCTTCTTGCTAATCCAAACCCAGATCTAAACCCAAATTCGCCCAAATAACTTGACTGCTTAAGCTGTCATGTGATTTCATTTGTTATGGGCTTTAGGCCCATTAAACTTGCAAGTTCACTTCCCCTTTTAAATGTTGGCTAATTTGGCTCTCTTTATATGGCGTGGGACCTTAACATTGATCTTCAAAAAAACCATATGGGTTCAGCCTAACCTCTGTTACAAGGCCTGGCTGAATTCACTGTTGAACACAATGAACCCCTAAGCCCATCAGTATGGGCTCTTAACAGGCCCAACATTTACACTAAATGGTCATTGAATCTAGCCACCTTATGAAGGCCCAAGGACTATGGTCATAAGTGAGATTAGCCCATTAGGTATAAAAGCCCTAAATGGTCTTACACTTAACCTCTCAGCCCATAATGATCAAACACTGCTCGACAAGAGAGGACCTTTCTCTCGTCTTCAAGGTATAGTGTTGCACTTTCTACTCGAATGGATCTCGGGAATTAAAACCTTCGCAAACATTTTTCATATATATATATATATATATATATATATATATATACAAAACAAATCTCAAACAAGTTTGAAATCAACTACCGATAGTTTAGGTTTCCATCAAAGAGAGTGCAGTCCTCGATCATTCACTTTGTTTGACAAAGGGGTTGATTCTGTCACTATGATCACCCACTCAAGTGAATTCTCAGACTATCCCAACATACCCAGGTTTTGACCCCCGCTAAGGATCTCACTGATTGGCATATCAAAGACAACCTTGTCCAACACCTAGTGTAGTACCATAATCGAGTCTAGGGTTAGGTATAACTTTCCAGCTTTGTCCGTCTGTCTCCAAGGTCCAAGGCACAATTGGAAAATGGTCCGGTTCAATATTTCTAACAAAACACACGACACGTACTTCGGGTCTAACTCTGGCAGCTGAGATAAGTCACTCCAACCGACTTGGCAACACATTAGTGTCAGCCTTGGCAGGATAAATTTCCCCAAGTCTATCCAATGGCTGAGAACGTTCTAAACTAACATGAGTCTCATAAGTGTCCAGTTTAAGTGTAATTACATTGAAACATACTAGATATAACATGGATCAATTATGTACTTTTATTCATTTACAATAAATGTCAAATGTACATCAATCTGATTGGAGCTATGGGCATACACAGTCTAGTAGCTCCCACTTGCACTTAGGTCCAATCGGGAACAAGCCGGTGTTCCATACTGTCCACGTATTTCTCAAACACTTTCTGTGTCAATGGCTTTGTCAATGGGTCTGCCACATTCTCCACTGATGCTACCTCCTCAATCTAGACATCCCCTCTACCAACAATCTCCCACAATACATTGTATTTACTCTCGATGTGCTTTGACTTCGAGTGGGCTCGAGGCTCCTTAGCCTGAGCAATGGCTCCAGTGTTGTCATACAACAGTGGAATGGGTGATGGGCTGAATGGAACTACTCCTAATTCTTGAATGAACTTCTCCATCCTTACTACTTCCTTGGCAACTTTACTTGCGGCAATGTACTTGGCCTCGGCCTTGGAATCTGTTGTGGACCCTTGTTTGCTGCTTTTCCAGCTAACTGCATAGGATCCTGTCGTAAAGATGTAACCAGATGTAGACTTTCTATCATCTAGGTTTGACTGAAAGTCGACATTGGTATACCTAAGGATCTGTAGTGAACTACCATTGAATACCAAACAAAACTCTTTTATCCTTCGAAGGTGTTTAAGTATGTTCTTTACAGCTGTCTAGTGCTCATGTCCTAGGTTTGATTGGTATCTAGTTACCACACTCACTACTAGATAAATGTCTAGCCGAGTGCACTACATGGCATACATGACGCTCCCTACGGCTAAGGCATAGGGAACCTCTCTCATGCCCTCAATCTCTTTAGGAGTCTTGGGAGACATACCCTTAGAGAGAGTGACTCCATGTTTAAAAGGGAGAAATCCCGTCTTCGATTTCTCCATGCTGTATCTTTTGACAATCTTGTTAATGTAAATAGACTGGGATAATCTTATTATCATTTTTTACGTATCTCTATAAAGTCGAAGTCCCAAGATATAGGAGGCTTCTCCAAGATCTTTCATGGAGAATTGTTGCAAAAGTCGTACTTTCACCATAATCAACATTTCTACATCATTCCCAATGAGTAGAATGCCATATACATACAAAACCAAGAACGTAACATTGTCTCTCACTGCCTTCCTATAAACATAGGGCTCATCCAGATTCTACTCAAAGTTAAACTGTTTGACGGTATAGTCAAATTGGATGTTCCAACTTCTAGAAGCTTGCTTAAGTCCATAAATGGATCAGGTAAGTTTACACACGATGTGTTCTTGACCCGCAACAATGAAACCTTGTAGTTGCTGCATATAAATATCTTTAGTAAGATCTCCATTCAGGAAAGCAGTTTTGACATTCATTTGCCAAATGTCATAGTCATAGTGTGTTGCTACATCTAGTAGGGCCCGTATGGATTTAAGCATGACCACTAGCAAAAAGGTTTCTTCATAATCGATTCCCTCTTTCTGAGTGTACCCTTCACTACAAGACGAGCTTTGTAGGTCTCAATCTTCCCATTAGGGCCCTTCTTCCTCTTGTAGATCCATTTGAAACCAATTGCTTTCACCCCAGGGGGTGGGTCTACGAGAATCCAGACATTGTTGGTTTCCATTGAGTCCATCTCAGTTTTCATGGCATCTACCCACTTCAAGGAATCTATGTTCAACATAGCTTCTATATAAGTCAGGGGATCTTCCTTATTGATCGTGGCTTCCATTAGGTAACTTTCTTGATCATAGCCGTAACAAATTGGAGGCCTAGAAGCCTGGGTAGATCTTCTAAGTTGGGTATGATTTGGATACTATGGGACATCTCCCACTACTCCTGAGATCTCCTCATCAAGAACAAT